TCGCAGCATTAGGAAGGTTGAGAACCGCTGGATTAAAGTATTCCACTCTATATAAAACAAATTCAATTACCGTAAATTATTTCAAATTTTATTTAAACTTTGTTATACATATTCATGACTAGACCAATGTATTTCCTCACATACACATAAAAAAAACAGTTCAGAATATTGGTTTTCATAAAATGGAAAAAAATCTTTGAAAATGATTTGAAATTCCTCAGAGAGTAAAGCTTTTAAAAGAAATAAAAAGAAGCATGTTCTAAACTAAATGTTGTTTTTTATTACTTTTTAAGGTATTTGGAATTTAAATGCACAAAAAGGAAAAAATATACAACTTCATTTTCAAGAATTTGACTTAGAAAATATTGCAGATGTCGTTGAAATCAGAGATGGTGGTGGAGATGATTCCTTGCTCTTAGGTAAGTCTGCATTTTAAATATTGTGAAGACTGCATGGCTCAAGACATTGGACTGAGGGAGAGAGCATTTCTCAATAAATGTAATCACTTTCTTACAACTAGCAAAATGAAAATACAATAGTAGAGTAGCATGTCGTATTTTACGTGGAGCTTTTAATAATGGGGTCTGTTTGCAATGATGATGGAATAATATTCTTCTTGAGCATTCTTGGCAAACCAGGATTAATATTTTTGAGTCAGAAGTTCCTACCAGCTGGCATTAATTCACTACAATGAGCATCATACCTGGGAGACTAAGAGCTAAGGACATCCATGATGCAGTTTTCTATGCATTATGTGCACATCAGATGTCCAAAGATAGCTATGAAATCAAGTTTGATTTCATTTCAAACCAACAAAACAAATTGTGTTATGCAAAATTTTTAAATCCTTTTTTAGTTTACATTTATCATTACTTTGATTGTCTGTGTCTCTGGTACTAGCTGCCTCTAAGTACCTGAGATTGATTAAAAAATCGACCAAAGTCAAGGATTGTTCCCTACAATCTATTTTGTATCAACCATTAATTTTTTTTTAATAAACGTGGGGAAAATGTACTATTCTTGAGGAAATTATTGTACCTAGATAATAAAATACATGTTAACATAATAAAAATCTACCAGTCAAATATAATAGCCATATCTTATGTAACTACTACCAATTTTTAAGAAAGACCTGTCTCTTGAGAAGTCATACATTAAATCATAAAAATGCATAAAGGGTGAATTAGAATGCATAAAACAACACCCTTTACAAGTAAAAGTGTGTTATTTAACTGTACTTTGGACTCATATTAACCATTTCCTATAAAATCTGGCCTGATATAATCTGGGTACAATAACATGAACACTGCAACCAATGGCTGAAGACTGCTGAGGACACTACAGCAATGAAGGGCCAGAGTGGTGAAGAGGGTTCCCGAGTTCATTCATCACCCCTTATATGGGTTTCTTCAGCAAACTCACCAAGTTCTAGAGCACAAGCTTCCTGGGAGAGGATTTTGAAAGGCACACACAGGACAAATAAACAATGAAAGAATCAGTGGGGCCAGGAGGTTAGTGCGAGAAAGAACTGAAGGACTTCAAATTTGACTATATTCTATACAGCTGTAAAGACATTTTGGGTCATTTTCCCATATTTAGGCTACACTGTCCTAATAAAAACTTATGTGTTCTCATGATCTAAGAGAAATCATTTTTGACTGTTTTACCTTTTAGTATTTACATCAATCATTAAAAAGTCAATAAGAATTCCAAAAGGATCTCAGAATTACAGTTTTCAAATTTATAGGCAATAAGTTCTTTTGAAAGAGAATTGCTTGCAGGGATTCCAAAATATAAATGATTTAGTAATATGAACATATTTTTAATTAGCTTAAGCCTTTATTATTTAGTGAAAAGTATTTTATTGTTTACAAAAACCCCAAAGCCCAGGGATTAATGCAAAAAATTTTGAAAACCACCGTTTAGGTTTATATTATCTGTCTCTAATTAATCCATCCTTCAGATTAGGTAATAATTCAACTCACAAAAAATAACAAATAAATTTGGACAAAATTACTAAGGGAGACTATAATTTCCATTGTCTTATAAAGGTCTTTAAAAGCAGGCAAATACTCATTTTTCTAGGATAACATGAACCTCAAATAATAGAGATGCTAAGCCAGAAAATGTTATGAGTCATTCATCATTAAATTATAGAGCTGCAGAAACCTCAAGTAATATTGGAAACAATCCATCAAGAAGAGACTTTCCAAGAAGCAGTGTCCAAAATGTAAAAGAATATACACATTTATTTACATGTGGCTGCTTTTTGAGCAAGCCATGCTCATGTTGGGTACCTCGAGAAGATGGAACTGAGAAAAAGAGTGTATTTGCTAGTAGATTCAAAGGATCATCTCACCGATTATCTTGTTTTCTTTTGGAGCAGCTGTGTACACAGGGCCTGGTCCAGTAAAGGACGTGTTCTCAACCTCCAACAGAATGACTGTGCTTTTTATCACTAACGATGTGTTGACAAAAGAGGGATTTAAAGCCAATTTCACTACTGGCTATCACCTGGGGGTTCCAGGTAAGTGCACTTGGGATTAAACGTTGCATTATAACTTTTGGAGCAAAACATAAAATTGTATTAGGATCCCAATACGATTTCAGTGTTTGCATTCCAAAACACCCATTTTTCCTCATCTTAATGAAGATTTTCTTCCTTCCTTTATATTTGTTTAACCACTACCTGAATTTATGCAAAGCAGGAATCCACACTCTTTCTCAGCAGATCTATTTGCACTTCTCTGGTGTATAAAGAGTTGTGAATTTTAGTCACTGAAAAGGGCCATTTTAAACATTAAAAATAGGATTGTTGGCATTGTGAGGAAGCAGGACGGTCTGTCATGTTCCCTTTGCCAAGAGCATTTTTAGAGAACAGCAGGGAAGACAGGCAAGTGAGCTGTTTGAATGCCAACGACATCCAATTAAAATATTAACATCATTAACTTCTTAGAGACAAGCAGTGGAAAGCCACTGCCATGAAGGGTGAAGGAATTTGATGCTGATTTTTGCTGGTATGCACAACCTTCTTATCCTGTATTTTTTATTATATCCATCACATAATCAGCAGGGGGAAAGTATTGCCTCCCTGTTCATCATAGATGTATCTATATCTTTATATTTATATACGATAGAACTCTTTGCAGTCAACCATCTGCAGATAATTTTTTATTGCCTGCTGCTTCCCTTGAACTATGCTACTGCCCACAACTCTGTGGTTCTCTCTGGATGCAAATATGTCAAGAAGACAAAATACAAGTTACTGCCTCCATCTATCTTTCCCTTCCGTAGGAGACTGTGGTCAGTCTGTCCTTAACTAAGATGTTTAGGAAAGAGTTAGGGTTGGAGCTTCGATCCTCATCTGGACTATTTTCTAATCCCAGACCCATCTGTGCAAATATCTGTCCTCCACTTACAATAGGCCTAGATCTTTGACTCCATCACACAAAGTTGTATGCTTTCAGCTTCACAGCAAATACGGAAGTTGACTTGTATTTTGTCTACCCTCTGGCCCTGAATAGAACCAATCAAATAGAACCAATCAAAACGAACAGTGAAAAGTATAATGGAGGAATATATATATACACACATATATATATATATAGGATCTGATGAAAGTGACCTAAATATCATGAAATCTTATAGTTTGCCATAAAAAAATGAATAGGAATCAGTGTTATAACATTTCCTCTTTAAATTTTTATATTTCAAGAGGAAAACTTTTTTTGCAAAATTTTTAAGCAGAATAAATATAATCATTTTTCAATGGTGTTAAAAATCAGACCATCTTTATATTTTACTCATTTCATGGTAAATGATTTAAAACAGATATTTCTTAGTTTTTGAGAAGAAACTGCTGCAATAAAAAATGTATAGGCATCAATATTATTCATACTTGAATGCAATAGAATTATGTGCTCAATTCTGCAAAGTATCTTAAAATAGAGCAAGCAAATACATAATACCTATTCTACTAGGGAGGAGGGCCTCCCAACTTTTTCCAAGAAAGATGTCATGAAAAGAACTTTTGAAAGTAGTATATTTTTATGGAAATGGAGATGAGCAGTAAAACCAACTGAACTGAGATTAAAAAAAACAACAATAGCTCTAACCAATAAGGGAGTGAATTTATTCATAAATCCAAACAATTGAAATAATTATTTGGACATTCCACCAATTGCAAAAGGGAAAGCGCCTTAAAACAGAATTCTGGAGAAATAATAGGTAACTAAGCCCATATTTTAAATTGTGAATGAAGAAGGCAGAACGAAGTGGAAAGATAAATTGCGAAAAGGCAGACAGCAACAAACCTCTTCCATCAAAAATACTATTGTTACTGGTTTTTATCAGATTCTTGTAAGATGATAAATGCAATATCAATGATTTTGAAAAACATTACAGGCAATTTCTATTCAAGATAAAAATCAGAAGAGCATAATCTCTGGCTCCCAACTCAAAATAGATACCATTTATGGTGTAGGGTTTGTTTATCATTGCTTACCCTTTCACTAGATTTTGGCTACTATACTGATGTTACTTAAGAAATAAAACACTTAGAGAAAATTCCCTTGGTTGGAGTTAGAATGGAGTCTTCGATGACCATCACTGTGTGGTGAATATGCTGAGAGTGCAGTTTTACATTCCTCCTGGATACGGTACAGATGCCGCTGGAAGTAGAAAATGGAGTGATTGAGTCATCAGCACAGTCTTCTCCCAGAGAGATTTTTACACTAAAAAAACTGAAAAGCAATTACAGAAACAGGGAATTGCCAGTGGAAGATAATCAAGCTGGTAATGGAAAGAGAAGTGGGCACGTGGCTCTGTTTATATTGGTGCTCTCCTTTGCTGGTCATTTTGGAGAAAGTATAAAAAGGATATCATAAATGTTCAGCATTGATGTGCTCCATTTATCTTCTGAGATATTTTGGGGACAGCTTCCAAAGCCTTCAATTGAAATGTAAAACAATTATATAACATATTTTTGTAGCTCTTTTCTTTATCTTATTGTTAACATTTCCAGTTACTTTAAACGAGGATCTGTGAAATACAGACTTTGTAAGATCAGTCTCCTATGAATGTCCCCTCATGGCTCTTTTCTGATACTGAGAGTCTTCATTTGAAATTCAATTGTGCTTATCAGGCAACTGTGGACGTGGCAGCTGATTACACTGAGGGGTTTAGAGCCCTCCCCAGATTGCATGGCATGTGCCTTAGAGATCAATTCAGTTCCATTTAAAACCAAGCATATGTTGACTAGATGAGGCAGGGCTACTGGAGACTTCATAAAAAGATGAGGAAATTCAATTCTTAGCAATATTTCTTTTTCCCTCCCTCACTGTGAGCGTAAAACAATCAGAAATAAGATTTCAGACTCCACAGAGAGTTAAACTTTTGGATTAGAGACTTCTTAATGAAGCTGAACTACTGTATGTTGCAAAGAATCGGAATCTAGTTCATGCATGTAAGGAAAATTTTAAAGAGTTTACTTATACTTCTCCTCAGAATTTACATATTCTATTCAGTTCAACAACAACAGACCATTCTGCCCCATTCAGTATTTTTTCATTCAATGCATTCCTCTTACAGAAACAAGTTAATAATCCTGGATTCATAGGATATAAACTTAACAGCTTCCACTAGAGCACAAAAATGAATTACAATCTTCAGATTTTTATATATGTTTTCATTTATATTTTAATTCAGGTAATATTTAAATTTTCATCCAACAAATATGTGCTTATCCAATTAAATAGAGCCTAAACACACTAGTAAAAGTCAAATTATCAATAAATTTATCTATGATTACAAAGTAATGAGATAATTTTAAAATCACTGGTGGTTACTAACCTTCTGTAAGTATATTAAGATATTTGATCATGGATATGTAATTAGGCTGTCAACTTTTTAAAGAAATATACATTTTAAAGTACAGATTTTAAATAGACTATATAAATACAAACACATGTATTCCTAGTTTTAAGCCTTCCTATTTTCTAAAGGAAAAGTAACACTAGAAAGATAATATATAAAGTCAGTTAAAATATTGTTTGCCTGTAGAATATTTAGTTGTCTTTGCCCATTTATCATTTTAATAATCTGGTTAAAAAATATGTATCCATGAAACAAATTGATAATTACATTTACAAGAACCTCAATAATATTATATTTGATATATGTATCCTACCTTTCTCATGGGACAAAGATTTGTAGAAATGACCAGCCAGGCTATGTCTTCCTTAAAATATATATGTTTTTATTAAGGTAGTAACTTAGATTGGGGTTGAAAAAATATAGACTTTTTCAAAGTTTAAAATAAGGTATACAAATAGCTCCAATTATCACTGTAAGATACCCAGAGAAATGGATTAGCTACAATTTCTTGTTGTGTATAAGGTTTCTGGAGGGAAAGGAATACAACTGACACCTGGAAGTAAGAATGCTAACTTAAAATTATCAGTGAAAATGATGACTTTTTTTCTTTTTTTGAAAGATTGATATTGAAATATTACATTTTTGCTATTAAGAGTGTTATTTATTGAGCATTCAGTATATTCATATTGATGTACTAAATATATAGTTTTTAACTTACTTTTTGATACACCTAAGACATAAATAATAGTTGTTTCCATTTGAAAGTCCAAGAAACTGATTCATAGAAAGATTAATTTATTTGTCCAAGGTCAAAAATAAATAAAATGAAAATGACTAAATTGCAAATCAAGCCAAGGTCTTATGATTCCCAAGCCCATGTTTTAACCACCATTCAAATTCAAATAAGCAAATTCTATCTTCATAATTCATAGAATTAACTTCTATTTTTCAAATCAATTGTCTTTTGTTTTGTTTTGTTTTAGCTGAGCCATCCTGCACCCCCCANCAGCTCAGCGGCAGCTCAGCTCGGGCCAGGAATGGAACCAGAGACCCTGTTGCTCAGGGCTTGCACTCTTGAGCAATCTCTTAAATGAGCCACTCGGCCAGCCCACAATTGTCTATTTTTAAAGATCACATTTTCAAAGACTGCTTTATATTATGTCAACTCTATTACTAAGGTTTATGCCAATTTTTGAAGCATAACATTCAATATAAATTAATTCACTTAACATTTAACAAATATCTATGGATTTCCTACTTTGTGCTCTGCATTTTGTCAAACTCTGGGCATATAAAGATGGAAAAACAATGCATTATGGGAATTGCAGCTAGTATATGGAATATGCAAATTAAAGAATGAACTCAATGAGGGTATAAACCAAAAAAGCTTTATTTTTCTTCATGTACTTTATTTCAAACCTCCCTTTTTGCCCCTGTACATATTAAAATGTACTTTCATATACAGCATCAACACTTTAATATCATCTAAAATTTAAAGCTTTCTTTTTTTTTAATCTCCTAACTTGAGCACAAACCTTAGACCAATAGCTTAAGATAGAGAAGGGTAGATAGAAATGTTGCTTCTGATTCATTTTCCACTTTCTTTCCCTTCCATCCTCCCATACATAGATAGCTCCAGTGTCAAGGAAAAGGCAGACAGGAAAAAAAATCTATTACCACTATAGTTTTCTTTTGGCTAACAGTGGCTCTGGGCCAAAAGCTGGCTACTTTCCAGGACAGAGTTGGGGGTTTTTGAAGCGTTTCTCTCTCCCCCTTCCCCAGAACTACTTCATTGTAGGCATGGGTAATACTCTTTCTAGATGATCACTTATAACCAGGCTCAGCTCCTAATCCTGCCGCCCCCCCTTCCCCACCCCCACCCCCAGGCTCCATCCCTCCACTTTTTTGTGCCGGAGCCTGTTTGTCCTGTCAGACAGCTGTCACTCAATGATGATTCCCAGTGTCCAGTGGCCAAATGGAAACTCATTCACTTCCCTACATATAGACAAAATGTAGGTTGTTTCCACCGCCACCCTCTCTCCTAGCCCTAACTACCATCAAGGGGAGTTCCAGCCAACTTTCTGACTTCTGAATTTATTACATAAGAAATGAACATCAATCTTAATTTACAAAACTATCTGCCCACAAACTTTAGAAAATCAGAGTTACCATCTCCCATGAAATTTTTTCACTATACTTTAGTCTGATATATTTCGACAGGTGGGTCATGAAATCAATTTGGTTTTAATCAGCATTCCTTGTTATGGAATGGGATGGATAGATGGATGGATGAATAGATGAATAGATGGATGGATGTATGGATGGATGGATGGATGGATTGGATGGAATGGGATGGGATAGGATGGGACAAGACAAAATAAGGGTGTTATATTTAGTCACACAAACATGCTGGTGTGTTTTAGAGTATAGCTTAATATCTATTTCTTACTATAGTCACAGTTGAAAAAAATCTGAAAGCTCCAGCATTAGTCCCATGGAAACACCAGCCCTCATGATTCTGCAGTGTAATACATTTTCAGCTGTGGAGTGAGGTGCTGGCATCCTCCTTTAAGGCAGCCAATATGCATTGGTCGCCGTGGGCACCCCTCACTTGTGCAGGATGTCCCCATTTCCCCTCTCCCACTTGAAAGCACTCCTCCATAAGAACTCTATGCAGTCTACTTTTAGAAAAAAAAAGACCCTTATCTTTTTTCTTTCTTTTTTTTTAATAACTAGAGATATGTGATGGGTATTGAGTGTTGCTGGACCAGATTTTTGTTTTGTTTTGTTTTGTATTTAGTAAGTGTAATATGGCTATAACAACTCCCTTTACTGTATAATAGTATTTTCAGTGCTCTTGGATTGGGGGCTACCACCTAGATTTTAAAACGGGAGAGATTCTTTTCAAGCACAATTACATTTGCTCATCATAAATTGACAAAGTCTCTACGGAGATTAGTACAATTTGGTTTTGAAACCATTTTAACATGAATTGTGTCTCCTTGGAAATAATACATATAATAGCTCATAATTAATTTTCGTTAATAGCTTTCAAAATACAGGTTTCCCTGTTTCTTATTTTTATCAGGTGCTTTTTCTTCCCCATTATAATTGTCCATGTGCCATGTAGGGGAAGAGACATTTGGCTTCTCCATATCCAGCTACAACCTTTCCCTCTCCAGGGATCCGAATCCCACATGGTCCTCCAGAGAGATCCTAATATCGGCACCTAGCTACCCCGCTTAAGCCATAATCAGAAAACATCTTGAGGGAAGAAAACTCCTCTCTTCCTATGAGATGAGGGCTCTCCCAGCACTAAACCCTTTAAGACCAAACAAATAATTCCAGGAAACCTCAGCACCCACTCCCTTTAAACAATAAACATTTCCAGTAGGCCTCTTTTTCGCACAGCTCAAACTCTGGAAACTACCAACTGCCTCCAGGCCCACTCCATTCCTTCCTTGTCCAGTCTCTTCATTGTCCTGCTTTTTCATGCTCCAAGACAATTCCTGTGACTCTACCCCTGCTTTACTTGTTGGGAGCTCAATCTTCAAATTCCTTTCAAATGACTGTTATTGCAGTTTCTCCTTCCTTGTGACTATTTTTTTCGCACCTGGCCACACTTTAATTGAGCTCACTGTTTCCAGCCTGGTCCAACTTTGTTCCACCAAAAGGTAACTTCCACATTTCTACATAATAAAGGTTTGGAGGCATCATTTGGTTGTTGATACCAAGAGATGTTCCTATGCTTGTGTAACATTCCAACGGTTGTTGTTTGTATGTTCATTTGGGGTCGAGAAGTGTATTGAGGAGAGGCTAACAAAGTTGTGAGGGAAGGGTGTGTCCTACACCTCTTAACCATCTCTTGGAACTGCCGTGTGCTAAGGAGATGCCTAAGGGTTTATCCACACTCTTCTCAAGCCATATCTCTGGCTCGGATACTACTATTTCTGAGGCATTCTGAGCAACTAAGGGTATAGTCTTATTCAACAGCAAAGCTAGCTCAACCACATGCTATGCCAAAGGGCTGATGTTTAAAGGGACAGAAATGAAATGGATCATGCAGAATCATCTATTTGTCATTTCTTTATACAATAAATATTCCTTCTTCATAGAGCCCTGCAAAGAAGACAGTTTTCAGTGTAAGAATGGAGAGTGTGTCCCACTGGTCAATCTCTGTGACAGTTTTCCACACTGTAAGGACGGCTCAGATGAAACACACTGTGGTACGTTTTATTTTTAGGAAAATACTTTTGTTGCTGTAGCTTTTATGTTTGGATTCTATAAATTGAAAGGAAGATTATGAATGTGTTTATTCGCTCATGATTTTATGTTTCAGGGTCTGAACATCTGTCAGTGATTTCAGCACCTCTATCCCCATCCTGGTTAGGAGAAAAGTTAATGTGTGAGCCCCTTGTTTTTTGTTTATGTTTAAATTTACTACATTTAATAACTTTAAGTCTAGGACAGCCCATATTTAGGTAGAAAGCATAAAATACCACAGAGAGAAAATAGCTCATACAAGGTACCTGAGCACCATTTTATTGGCTCTCATTCTCCATATATTGCCTACATATAGAGGGCCCCTTATGTTTCTTTATAACTGACTTTCTTAGACCTGGTGCTCTGCATTCTCGATTCTTCAGGATCTACTACTACTCCTGCCTTGAGTCTTCAAGTAAGTCCAGCCCCTGTCAGAGCTCTATAACATTACAAGTAATGGCTACTTTTACCATGTCATACTTTGATTTCTGAGCAAACACTTAATGCTACTTATTATGTGCCATGCACTGTAACTAAGTACTATAAAACAATCTTAACACAATAAGAATTAGTTCTACTTCAGCCATGAGGAAACTGAGGCTTGGATAAGTGGCTGCCAAATATCACACATATAGTAAGGGCTAGAGCTGTATTCTCAACCTGCTCATTAGTCTATCTGATTCTAAAGTCAACACTCTTACTCTGTTCGTACTAGGGAAAAATGTAAACACTACCATTCACTTACAGAATTACAATATGATGTTTGTGGGTGAAGGTTTTTCTGTTTGCTAAACTATTGGGTTGTCAGAAAAGTCGTGACACATTTTTGCAACGAAAAACAGAAAAATACGTCATGTCTTTTCCGACAACCCAATAGCTTAGCTTGGCCCAATCCCTACCTTGCCACTAATGGCCTTAGAAATCTATCCAAAATGGTTGTAAAATGGTGGGGAAGATGATGGAAACCAAACAGCAAAAGAGCAAGTGCAAAGACAATAGTTTCTGGAAAAAAAAGTGGGAAAAAAATACCTGAAGTTGATCCTAAACTTGAGTTTTCTTTCTTTTAGAGACCACGTTTATAAGATATGCTCTTCCTGAATAATTTTATTTTCTGGTTTTTTTGATGCATTGACATGCAATGAACTTGCATATCTCTACATTTCCCTTTTCGTAGTTATATAAAGAGGAAAATTAAGTTTACCAAATCTGTATTTTCAACATAGGCCTTATAACATATTCTTAAGAAAAATTACAAATCAATCTCTAAACTCTGTTAAGAACATTGCACATTTAGTTTAGAGCCCATCGCTTGCTTTTATCAACTTAGGTGAAAATGACCCTGTGTCTAATCTCTTTAGTGCGTCTTCACAATGGCACCACAAACAACGATGGTTTGGTGCAGTTCAGAATCCAGAGTATTTGGCATGTAGCTTGTGCTGAGAACTGGACCTCCCAGATTTCAAATGATGTTTGTCAGCTGCTGGGGCTAGGGTAAGTAATTCTACTCAGCTCTCTTTTAAGAGATTCTCAAACAGTTTTGTTGGTATCAAACAGGGTTTATTAATATATTTGAAATTTATGGAAGTTATGTATTTAGAAAATACACATGAGCAAAAGGAAGAAAATAAAAATTTTGATTAACCCCATTCTCAAAAACTAACCATGGTTAATAGCTTTTTAATAAATATTATGTAAATATAAGAATATATAAATATTATACTATAAAATTATACAAAATAGTTACATTGTGTTTTATAGCCTACTTAAACATGAGCATTTCTCATTTCATTAAATATTTCCTATACATTTGTAAGAAAATTATATATTCCATTTTATGCTATATCATAATATATACAACTAATCATAAGCATACAGGGAATGTGTTTTTGCTATATCTATATCTATGTTTACAATAGTTTGTTTTTATTTTTATTTTTTTTATTTTTTGAAAATTTGTAGCAGTGTAATTGTTGTGAGAAAAGATATACAAAATTTCAAAACTAACCAAGAAGGGTAACGCAAGTGATGATTCCATATTAATGAATCAGCAAAAATGTTTTTGTCCCCCCCACTCTAATGTCATAATATATTACAGCAAATATAGAAGTTCACCATATTCATTTTTTACCTTCTCATCAGTCTCAAAACTAATGAGTTTAAAAATGGAAGTTAATAAGTAGTAATAATTTGCTTCTTTTAAGTTACACAGTTGGTCAACTCTAATTCACTATTTTGATACTTAGTTACTTATGATTTGGGAGATTTAACTATATTGCATCTATTATGGTTTTTTGATCACTTATAGCACTATATTATTTACCGGTTTGGTTTGCCTATAAATATAAGAACCATGTCTATTTTATCCATTATTGCATTGCTAACATCTAGACTTATCCGTATTTCAAAATATAAGTGCTAAATAAACATTTGCTGAAGCAATAAGTAATGCATTATATATAAGTATATGGACATAAATGTAGGTATACCTATCTATTGGAAAGTATGTCAAAAGTTGTCCATTCATGTCATTATGCTTTTGTTTTTACCTGTCCTGAACTGGGGAAAGATTTTCTAATTCATTCTAAAAGGTTGTATAAAGTTACAAAGGAAAATAACTTAAGTCCACATCCATACATACCCTCAGCATTTGGTAATTATCTTCAACTATATTCCTAGCTTATCAAAATAAAATCTATTTAATTGCTTTTCTTATAAGGGACCCTTCTCTTTAACTGATTAAATTTATATATCAGCCTTCATGCCATACACAGATTTTCTAATTTATTTCAAACTGTTTGTTTTTTTAACCCAAACATGTCTTCCACTAGAAATAACAATAGTGTAGTGGTTAGATCTTAGTATAGCCCATAATAACTATTTAATTTCTAGTAAACTGGAGAGTCATGTTGTATATTAATGTCAAAATAGTCTCCATCATTTGTCCCGCCCTGCAAGCCCATGAGACCATGCCCATCCCAACTTTCAGCCCACCCAAGCTGCTTCCAGTGACTTTTTCTACAAGCTGCCTGTCTTGGCCCTTGCTATGGACTTTCCTAAAATCTCTCAAAGGTTCACATAACCCAAACAAGCAGCAACTGGCTTTGGCACGTCCCATACCTCTAGCTGAGCAGCCCTAAGCCCGGCACTAGCTAAAACTAGCCTCAGTACACGGTTTGGTCTCTTGACACACCTCCAAGCCCAGCACAGGTGGCAGGCATTTGTGTGTTGCTTTGAGGCTCGTGTTAACTGGCCCTGGGCAGGGCATGGTCTGTGGCTTTTTTGGCCTGTGGTAAGGCCCCTCCCAGGAAATCCCAGAGCTGCCATGCCCAGTGACCAGTTTCAGACTGAGATGCAGCATAACTTGGCTGCCTCCAAGGATAACACCCAAAGGGCAAACTGGGCAGACAACAGAACCCTGTAAAGTGAACCTTGCTCTGTAGTATCAGCCACTGTACAACAGCCCCTCCACTATAGCATTGACCAGTCCTCATAACCAATTAGCCTGAGGGTCAGTTTCTCACTGATGTGCTCAACTATCACAGGAGGGCATACAAACCCCACACAAAAGACACACCTCAAGTACCTGGCTCAGGTGAGGAGGAAGGCTGCCACTGGGCCCCACAGCACACCTACTATATAAGACCACCCTGCTAAGACTGTGCAATATAGTAGCCTTACCTAACACATAGAAACAAACACAAGGAGGCAGCCAAAATGGGGAGACAAAGAAACTGTCCCACATGAAAGAACAGAACAAAGCTCCAGAAAAAGAACTAAACAAAATGGAGACAAGCAATCTACCAGACACAGAGTTCAAAAAACTGGGTAGAAAGATGCTCAGTGATCTCAGGGAGTTCTTCAACAAAGAGATAGCAAACATAAAAATGGAGATAGCAAACATAAAAAGAAACAGCCAGAAATAAAGAATGTAATAACTGAAATGAAGAAATTAGAGGGAATCAATAGTACATTAGATGAAGCACAGGATCAAATCAGTGATTTAGAAGAGAACATAGCAGAAAACACCCAATCTGAACAGCAAAAAGAAAACAGAATCCAAAAGAATGAGGAGAGGGGCCTCTGGGACAACATGAACTGTACCAACATTTGTATCATAGGGGTGCCAGAAGGAGAAAAGAGAGAGCAAGGAATTGAAAGCCTATTTGAAGAAATAATGATGAAAAAACTTCCCTAACCTGGCAAAGGAAATAGACACATGAACCCAAAGAGATTCATACCAAGACACTTGAAAATTAAAATGCCAAAGTTTAAAGACAAAGAATCTTAAAAGCAGTAAGAGAAAAGCAGTTACTTACCTACAAGGGAGCTCCCATAAGACTGTCAGTTGATTTTTCAACAGAAATTTTGCAGGCCAGAAGGTATTGGCACAAAATATTCAGTGACGAAAAACAAGAACCTACAACCAAGATTATTCCACTTAGCAAAGATATCATTTAGAATCAAAGAACAGATAAAAAGCTTCCAGACAAGAGAATTTAAAGGAGTTCATTACCACCAAACCAGTATTACAAGGAATTTTAAAGGGACTTCTTTAAGACAAAAATAAATAAATAAATAAATAAATGATAAATAAATAATAAATGGCAATAACTTCATAGCTATCAAAAATTGCTTTAAATGTAAGTGGATACATTTCTAGTAAACTGGGAGAGTTATATTGTATATTAATGTCAAGATAGTACCTAACCACCACATATAGATATTTTACTATAGGAAATTATGTTGAGGTTCCAGTCCAAGTATCAGAAATGCTCCATAGTGTCTTGCAATTGGTTTGAGAGCTTTCAACTGCCTTTACTTCCTAAAAGAGTATTCATTCAGAATGGGAACCCTGCAGCTCCAAGTCTCATTCAAGTGATGTGAGCCTTACCATAAAGTCAATTTCTATAAAGAGCAGAGGGACACAGTGAGTTTTATCATGCATTATGTAAATAATCATCAATTTGTTTTATGTGTATTATACACAAACTTTCTGCCCTTTATATATGATATCCTTTCTATTATACCTATAGCTTGTATTCTAACAAAAACGCTTTCAACATTGGGGGGATAGGGGTTTGAGACATAGTCTTGGAGGTGGGTGGTTTGCAGGTGGAATAATTTTTGATAAAAAGTCAACAAAACACTGAATCTGATAGTTGTTTATTCTCACTTCAAGTAAAGTACGGGGTAAGTGGCATTGATTCTAAGTTCCTACTTTAATATTGATTTAAGTTCAATGTCAAGTTCATGCAGGTGAAGCCCTAGGAAGTAATTTTCTTCCACTGCTAAAGTTGCCAGTAATTCTCAGTTGTTTTATAGACTCAAGAACTTAGTAAAGAACAGGCTAAGGAGATTGGTAACTTGACCTTGTTACCACAATTGATGAATCCAAATGCCCTGGATGATAATGTACATATATTGGGCTTTCTCCACACAGGGCCTTGTCTTCCAATTTACCATCTTTCTAGGCATCATGTCATGATTATAAACACAGGAGTTTAGGGCTGGCTGAGTGGCTCAGTTGGTTAAGAGCTCGCTCAAGAGTTTGAGCTCTGAGCAACAGCAGTTTGACTCCCGGCCTGAGCTGAGCAGCTGCTGAGCTGCCAACAGGTGGCAGGATGGCTCAGCTTAAAAAAAAAAAAAAAAAAAAAGAATAATCTAAACATAGGAGGTTTTTCCACTATGGTTTGTATGGTTTGTAAATCTTAACTAAATTGTTTCCTGGAGGTTATATGGGGTTAGGATGAATCATTACAAAGATCAAAAGGGTCAATATCTTCTTTGACAGGTTATTTTTTAATTTATTTGAATGAAATATGTTGGGTGATAGCATAATGCTGATTCCTACTATTGCATGAGATAATGTATTGGAAAGGAAACACATGTCTTTATTACTTTTTAACAGCTGCTAACATAAATATATTATTTTGATTACTCCTGCATCTGAAATCTAATGCTATTGAGTCTGTTCCTTGGATGAATAAGATATGGGTTTTGCTTTCAGTGTGGTGGGGATAGACACAGAAGTAGATAATTACAATATAATGTGATAAATTCAATGTGCTGTAGGAGAACCTACTCAATTTGTGCACGTCAGGAAATGCTTCCTAGAAAATGGCCTAAGCTGAGTGGATGACAGCCAATTCCACACAACTGTGTACTATCTATTTACATGTTTTTCCCCCAGCCAGATTTTACTCTCTAGTTCACTAACCTCATTTCCTGTGAATCACAGCCCTTTCATCTGGAGATATGGACAAAGAATTAGGCTTTTTTAATGTGCGTAAAGCAAGCAGTACATCTCACTGCCCTAGATGCCATATTTTTGCTGAAGGTCAGGCAATTGTTTTCTTCAGAAATGAGTCAGGTAGTCTCTGCAAAGACTTTAATCTTTGGGTCTGCACTTATTAAATAGTCTCCGTAGTGCCCTGGTAATTGGAAAAAAGTTATAGCCTTAATGAGAATTTGTCTGGACTGGCGCATGGTAA